CTTGAACAGGAGGTTGGGCTAAAAGACATCAAAGGCTCCTTACAACTCTGTTCTTCTATTATTCTATTAAATTTGACCCAAAACCTGTGTTTGGGACTTTCTATATACAAAGCCTCATTGATTCACCTATATATGGCCAAGATATATCTCCCTGATGGCTGAAAACTATCTACCCTATATGAAAAAGAGGAACTTATTTCAGTTTTCTTTTTCCATATAAATCCATGCTGAAAATGTTGTAATAGACTGGCATTAAAATGGTGAGTGATCAGTGATAAGAATCACATCCCCAACATCTGTTTCTTCAACTATTATGCCAAATAAAAGGAAAATTTAAATTGCAGGTTTGAATACACTTAGCACACAGTCCCATGTTCAATTTACATTATCTCTCATCGAGATTGGCTCTGATCTTTCTCCAATTTGGGAACGTATGAAAAACCCACAAAAGCATCCTTTCCCCAAAGTCCATCTCTGGGCTCTAAAGCCTACAAAGAATGGAGGCTTTATCTTAAACAAATATTCCTTCAGGAACAAACTTCAGAAGTTGTGGGTCCTCCAACACTGGAGGTTTTTTAAGAAGAGATTGGAAATGGTATAAGGCTTCCTTTTTGAGCAGGGAGGTGGACTAGAAGACCTTTAAGGCTCCTTCCAACTCTGTTACAGAACAGAAATGTAATGATGATTTACTATGGATACAAAGAAGAAAATATCTTTCATTAATGGCAATGACTGTCTTAATCTTTTATAACATCACAATTCTGAAATGATAAAGTTGACTTACTTGACCCAAAAAAAGAAATACATTGGTTGTTCATGGTGGGGCACGTCCTATTGTAGCAGTAACCAAAGTTGTTTTGGCATGGTTGTCCATCCCTTTTGAAGTCATCCATGGGACACTCAGCAGATTGGCCAGTGCAGCTTTCAGGCAAGTCACAGTCATCCTTTGCTGCCCGGCATTCTGTTCCTGCCCCCTTAAACTGTGGGTGAGAATCAAAAATAGTCCAGCTATCACTCTTCAGCAGCAGAGATCAAAGAGTCAAACCATGATTCACAACACATTTCAAAACCTCCTCTTCATCTGTCTTGAGGATCACCAAGCAAGGCATCCCTGCCCTGTTACAACTGTGTGTGGTGCCTAGAAGTCTCAGTCTGTCTTATTTGTTGTGGGGAATGATTGCAATGAAAGGCTCAATTCCTGAAACACAAGTTCTACCGGTTGGTTGACCATAAAGGGAAAATCAATTGGGCTGCCATGAAAAAGCAGCAAAAAGTGAATTGCTGAACTTCTCATGATATATTTTGTTTCTTTACATGGGAAGAAGCATTCATGGAATTTTCTGTCAGGTGCTGAAAAACTGGTAGCTCCCTTCTCCTGCTGTGAAACTAGGCTTGTGATGGAAATATGGAAATAACATAATGGTTTGGGCCACTCTGCTCAAAACGTTCATTACAGAGTCCACTGGGATCCCACATAGAAAGAAGGAATGAGGAACTAGCACCTCTCTTTTCATGGTCCTGCAGCACCTCCAGAATCCTCCACAAAAACACCTGAATTTGGAGCTTTAGAGAGCAGGTAGAGAACTTAAGGGGAAAAAAAAGCAACTTTACTTCCAGAAGTCTCCTGCACCTATTTTCCATCCTAAAAGGCTCAGAGAGAAAAATGTCACAGCATTACCAGGGACCTCTTAGAACCTTCCAGAAAGTCAGGAAGCTCAGTTAGGGCACCAACCTCAAATATTGCCTATCCTTGTTTAAACTTGGTTTCCATTCAATCTCAGTCAAAGAACAAATATATTATTTTCACAGACATAATTTAACATGCCGAAAGAGTGCATCTAAGATTGAGACAAGGCTGAAATTTTGTTAAATTATCCTCCCTATGGATATGTTCATAAGGGTAAAATAAACTGGAAGAAGGGATAGGAATAGGGTTGAAATGTTTTGATCATAGTAATCAGCCAAGAGATATTTACATTTCTATATGGCTAGTATGGAGCAGGGTAAAATCTCTCCTGGTGTTAAAAATAAACAAGTCTTACTCTGCACTGGTCACAACACACTCCATCTGTACACTGTGACCCTGGTGTCAGTTTACACGTAGTAGCATCGCAGCACTGATTTCGACAATTCTGAAAACCAAAACATATCAAATGATGTCATAGAATTTTCTGCCTGGTCTTTTTTAATTGGTCTATTTTGAAGAGGGAAATTTCTGCAATGTGATCCCTCTTATGGGTTCATGCTAGCAAATACATAAACTGGCATATTTCTGTGAAAGAGCCTTATCTGATATTTCCTAGGTGAAAAGAATAAAATAAACAAAAATATCCTCATCTCCTAATTGTGAAGCCCACATAACTAAAGCCCTATTCCTTTCTTATTCATGAGGGATTTTCTACTCATCATGCCAGCCTTTGAGGTAGTCCAGAGAAGAAGCACCAACCATGAGTATTAACACTACCCTGATTGTAAGGTTACAGTAGCAGAATCCTTCAATACATTTCTACCACCTCATCTTTATGGACCAAGAGAATGGGTGGGAGGTGTTCTTCTTGAGATGTTTGCCATGCCCCATTCCTTCTGCAGGCTAATCTACTTCTTATATGATCATTGAGTAGATGTTTCCTCCTTCTTTTGTCTCTCAAGGACATTCTCACAGACCATTACAAGTGTATTTAACAATATAAAAAGAACACTAAATTACTGTTCTTATAAAAATAATATTAAGATCAGAGCATAGATTAAAGATCATCAGATATGGGAGAAAGCAGC